ACAGACACAGACACAGACACACACACACACACACACACACACACACAGAGAATAGTACAGATTTCAGATTATGGCTCTCAAAACCTAGGAAGCTGCCTACCTAGACAACATTTTTTGCATGAACACTCAGAACTCAACCAAAAAATGCTGTCTAGGTAGGGAGTGCATACGTACATATGTATACATCAACCTATGTACTGTATGTAGTATACATTTTTGTATTGGAAAAATAAAATAAAATTAAATTAAATTAGTGTTTCTCTGCCTGTCGCTTGAGACTCCGGGATACGTTCCAGCATACCCTTGTCATTACTACAGGACAAAAAAAAATAAAAAATCATTGCGCTCTAAAGGTGGGATACAGCCAGGGCCAGATTCACCTCTTTTCGTGACATAGGCAAAACAAATTTTTGGGCTCCCCTTCCCTATTAATATAATAGGCCTAATATTACCACCCAAGCAAACAAAAATATTTCTTAATCAGTGGAAACCGTTACAGTGTTTTCTATCACAATAAGCACTTGCGTTCAGTCAATAAAAATCTAATGTAGTTCTTAATTTGTTTGAGAACTGAGAAAGACCATTCCATTAATAGGCGCGGCGGCGTGTCCACATAACCACTTCGGGAGTGCATTATTTCTCTAATCATTTTAACGGCCTGGAGTCACAATCACACATCAATTTTTTTGATGATTTGTTTCAAGACATTTGACATCGTGTGTGTTGAACTAGCTAATTTTTTACGCACCTCATCTCAAACATTCCGTTGCAAATTCCAAAACAACGTTATTTTAGAGCTAATAACAGAGGCTTGAGTCATTGATATGCAGGCTAACGCAGTTATTAGAGAGAGAGAGAGATAGAGAGAGATTAAGTGTGTGTGAATACTTGCATCTGTGCATCTCTCAGCAGTGTTCAGCAGCAGCATCTACTAATAGCGAATCTTTAAGTTGAACTGCTTCAAGAACCTCGCTACTGAGAAATGTCATGTAGCTTTTCAGCTGCTAAACTATTTTATTGATAAATTCGCGGGGCAGCGCTGACAAGTTTCACTAGCTACTTTTCATGCTTTTCATTTTTATGTTCCGTAAAAGTTCTACAAAAATATCTGATTTCTCATTTCAAAGAACAGAAGATTGGTGCCTTTATTCAATCAATCCAAGCATGATATGTAACAGTATTTATTCCTGTGCAACAATAAATTTACATTCAACAATGACTTTCGCTTTCATTGCTAATAATATAGATTGCTTGTTTGCATTCTTCAACATACCGTCATTTACAGTATACTGCAGAATCTTCTTGAAATCCCTCTTTGTAATTTGGAGAAAGCTGGCTTTGTCTGTGCTTTTCGTTCTGCCTGTGAAGAGGATGAAAGGATTAATCAGAGTGCCACTTGTCTGTTTAATGTTAATGATTTATTATCGACTTGCCCTTCAGCTGACTGTAACTGACAGACAGATTTTGACAGGAAATTGCTTTTAGCTGACTGTCTCTCCTGTGTCCTCTCTGCGTCTGACCATCATTTTTCATTCTGTCCCCTCTACAAATGAAAGTGGAAGACAAAGAGAGAAGAAAAGAAGGGGAATACTTCCAAAAATGATGGAACGAAGGAAGAGAAACAGGAGAGAAGTCATCAAGAAAGACCTAATAACATAAACAACCCTCATTTTGAGGTTTAACTGTATTGTGAATATTAATTATCATCTGGCGAATGGCAGGATACTGACTGATGTTTGTTCTTTTAAAAAATATTCAATAACATATTGCAGTCTTATTTTCAGAATGCCACTGGCCTCTCGTTTATTTTCAAGTTTGATTCACTATAAAGGAATTATGCTGTGCTTTCTAATAAATCAAATAAAGCAGATGAGGGAGCTAAAAATCATGTCCTGAAGTTTGAGTTACAGCATTGATTGCATTCAAACTCTTTTGCTGGAACGAGAGAGAGAGATTGATTGGATCATTTGACATTTTTTTTCAGTCACTGATAATGATCCCAGAGTTGCATTTGCAGCCATAAATGATCCAGAAAACTACTATGAATATGACCCCTGCTTTCCTTTGGGCTCTTCATATCTTCTCTATTCTCTCTAACCATAACGTAACTCAATGAGATGACAAAATGACCAATACAAAGCAGCATTACCACCCAAGACGTATTTTATCACATAGTCGCTCATTTAAATGTCTTAATGTGACACTTTAAGCTTCAGTTGTTTGAAATAAAAATGGGACTGAGAGGAAGTAATATCACATTAGTAATATCTAACAAAAGCACATATCAAAATGACTAAAATTAAACTAGAATTACAATGAAAAGCATAGAAATAAAAACAAAAGCTAATTCAAAATGAACTATAATAGTATGTAAATAATATTTTATTTAGCGATTATCGTTTGGTGGTCCACAGGTATGTATCACTCATCACAAACACACACTAAATCCCCAGTTTCCTCAATTTTACAGTGAGTCTGGGCGAGAAATGAAAATGATCCAGAAGATAAATATTTGTACAATGAATTTCATATGATGATCTGATAAGATTCACATTTAGCATAACAAATGCTGGCTCTGATATTCTCTTTGACCACATGCTGTTACCAATCACAGGACTAAGTTCAAAGTACAGTGTTTCAAATTCTTAACATAACTCTCCCCAGAAACCAAATCAAAACAATTAGTCAGTCATGTGGTGTCGGTCCCTTAAAAACGTGCTAAATGTTCTCCGCAGAGACCCATCACATTGGTGGACACGGTCACAGATACTGATGCCACATTTAACACTCATTTATCTCAGAAGGAATGGCGTTTTTATGCGGCCCTCCAGTCTCCTTTTCCCAAAAGTTACGAGGAATCCTTCCAGTGCTCTCCAGGGTTCAGGAGCAGGCCTGACAAGCCCAACTGCAGGTTCCTTCTCGATTTTCAAAGTATTAAAACACTAATGTTGCTCCAGCAGAAAATAAGTGTTTCACAAAGCTGATGGAAATCTGAGAGTAAGTGCAAAGACTCCTTTTTGAAAGCACTGAAATTGGCAGGCGTCCCTCATGTACATTTCTCCACTCATCTATATTTTGCCTAATGGCTTACATAATGGCTTAACTCACCCGTTTCTGTTTTCACTGCTCTATGTATCTTTATTTTTTGTGCACTGTTCAGTTATATGTTTATAGGCCTGATATGGGTGGAGTAGTGTCCATCTGCAGGAAACCTGATGTAATCTTGTGGAATATAAGCATGAGCATTACTGTGAATGAGAAATGTCAAACAATGTGAGTGCTGTTTTGACAAAGTGAGAGCCACTGAGACATTCCTGAAGGTCATACATTATATCTGTCTAAGATGAACCGAGATCTGCTGGATGTTGCAAGTACACTCTTAAAAATAAATGTTCTTTATGAGCACTGATGGTTCCATGAAGAAACTTTAACATCCATTGAACCTTTCCATTGGACAAAAGGCTCTTTATAGTGGAAAAATGTTGTTCTAATTATTAAAATGCTCTTCATACTAATAAAAATAGTTATTTAAGGAACCAGTAATGGCTCTTCTATGGCATGACTGAGAGAGAGAGAGAGAGAGAGAGAGAGAGAGAGAGAGAGAGAGATGGCAGAACAGAGAGAGAGAGAGAGAGAGAGAGAGAGAGAGAGAGAGAGAGAGAGAGAGAGAGAGAAAACCCAAACCTTTGTTTTTAAGAGAGTAGTCCTAAAAAACTGATATATCTTTGCTGATGTTTCTCTTAAATTTCAACAGGAGAAACAAAAACACAAACAAATGAGACAACTGGCAGAAAGAAGACTATCAAATTCATGTGGATTGCAAAACTCAGATAATCTGGTCCAGGGTCCAAAACGACATTGGACACCACTGACTTTGATTGTGGAGACAAACAACACATTTTTCAAAATATCACTTTTTGTTCCACAGAAGAAAGTAAGTCATACAGGTTTGAACAAATATTCATTTTTGGGTGAACTGTTCCTTTAAGAGTTTGTTTTATCTTTACAAAGTTTTTATATGTTGCCGGGTAACAAAGAGTAGTCATCATAAGAATTGCCGGCGGTCATGCCTATCCGTCATTAGGGGGCACTCTCGTGCGTCTGAGCAGCGCAGTGAGAAAAAGGGAAAGAAAGAGAGTGTTTTATTTCGGGGGAACGGTTTTATGATTGAGGCATCCCGGACACGAGTGAATTGAAGTGCGTGGGCTGGAAAACAACACCGTCTGTTGTTTGCTCAGGGAAAAAAAAAGGGAAATCCTCGGTTGGGTGTTGGTCTGGTCGCTGAGCAGTTTGGAGCAGTCTGCGATCACACAGATTTCGTATTTCTCCGTGGGTGAGAAATATCTGCGTAGAGGAATCGTGCAGGCCGCGGAGATCGAGCGTGAGTGACATTTAATGTGAACGTTGAGTTTAGGACATGCCATTTATGTTGTGAAGTGGAAGGGAAAGTAAACCAAACTTCTTTCTCCTTTAATAAAATAATACTAGAGGGGAGAACGAAGGCACGTGAAGGTGCATGTGAGGTGACAGCTGGGTGAATTTCTAATGTGACGCAGCACGGCACAGAGTGAGTAATATTGATTTAATTCGGTTTTGGGAAATGTATATGTATACTCGGAGAAAATGGTTCACTAGTTGTATACTGTTTTGATGTCAATGTTAATTTGAATTCATTAATAATCTGTTCTTGGAGAAGAAGATAGTAATAACAATGTTAATAGAGATGTACAGAGTGTAAAATGGATTTACTTGAATTTATTTAGTCAATAGTTGTAAGTGGCTTATGAGAATGTATATTTGATTATATTCTATGTTTGTTCTTCCTTTAGAAAGCATTATAAGCCACTACCGTTGTTTATCCAGGGGGTTAAGTGCTCACACCAATTTCTTTGTACTGTGTTTAATTTATTTATTTGTTTATTTTTATTTTATTTTTTTGTTACTGTGGGGCTATCCTTGTAAAGGGAAAAAAAAAGGGAATTGGCGAAACTGGCCTGAAGTTATTTCGGTAACTGTGAGCACTATTTGAAGTGCTTATATTTTGGGGTTTGTTTCTTTATACCTTTGGGGAAGCGTGCTTTTGGTTGTGTTTATTCTTCACTGTATACATATCATCGGCACAACTCCCCTCAATTGAAAACCTTGAGTATTAATGCCGCGTCTTCTGCATACGCGGTCGGAAATAAAGAACCCCTAGTTTAGATACTTGGCAGTGTTTGAGTTTCTTTAAGAGTTTACACATTCACACGGCCACACTAGTAAAGATTGCCAGACCGTAGATGAGTTTATTGAGGAACTCGAACGAGTTATTCGTGTAAGGGGACTGAGTGAAGAGGATCAAGTAGACTTTATTTTGTCACACTTGCGGGGATCGTGTCTGGATGAGGTTAAACTGTGTATGGGGGGGGGGAGGATGCACAACCGCGGGAGTTGTTTGCGTATTTGAGGGCTGCATTCCCTGAGAAGCGTACAACCCCTCAGCTTTTACATGCCTTTTATGCAAGGAAACAGTTAGAGGGGGAAGATCTCAGAGAGTATTCTCATGCCTTGTCGACAATGTTAAACGCGGCACTCCAGCAGTTGCCTAATGCAGTGCAGGATGTGCAGGTAGCTCTAAGGGATCAGTTTGTGGAAGGAGTAAGGGATTCCATACTCCGTCGGGAATTGCGCAAGATAGTGCGGGATCGACCTCGTGTGACACTATTTGAGGTCAGAGAGGAAGCTCTGTTATGGTGTGCAGAAGATCGTCCCCGTGGTGCGGGTATTGCTAGAAGTCGTTACTTGCTGGGCCTGGGTGTTGAAGAGGGTACAGGGTCCCAGAATGTGGGTGCATCGTCTTCGGGAGACCTGAATGCTGTCTTGCAGGAGGTAGTGAAGGCAGTAGTTCAACAAGGGAAAGCGATCGGAGAGCTAACGAACGCGGTCCGTAACCTCACAACTCAAAGAGTCAGTTCAAGTTTGGAAAGGCCCCAAAGGGCTAAGGTTAGGCCCAGATATACGCGGGACGGTCAGCCAATTTGCTTGAGGTGTGAAGCTGTGGGACATATAGCCCGCCAGTGTACGGCGCGGCTTAATCAGGAAGGTCAGGTGTCGGCCTCTGGGGAAACAATGGCGCCGGAAAACAGGGTCCCTCCATTGCGCAGAGCCGAGCAATGAGAGGGGGTGTCCATGGCTCAAGCAACAGCTCACTGACTAAGGAGCATTGCTTGGAACGGGCAGTGGGCCAATGCCCTGAGGTTGAGATCAGTATAGGGGGAAAAAGTGTCAAGTGTCTTTTGGACACAGGTAGCAATGTGAGCACATTGGCGGAAAGTTTTTTTAGAGAACACTTACATGGGGAAGATAGGGATATGCACAGCACCTCAAAGTGGTTGCGGATTACAGCTGCTAATAAATTGCCCCTCCAATATTTGGGATACGTCGAGTTGGATATTCAGGTGATGGGAGTAACGATACCTGGCTGCGGATTCTTGATAGTCCGAGACCAGAAAGATGGAGAAGTTGATCATTCACTGCCAGGCATCCTCGGCATGAATATTGCTCAGCGCCAGGCAGAATTGCGAGCATTGTTGAGGGAGTACGCGGATGTGTTCGCAGCGTGTGACGAGGATCTTGGGTACACTGATCGGGTGAAACACAAGATTCCCGTGACCGATGACGTGCCTGTCGCTCAAGCGTACAGACGTATACCTCCCAACCAGTTTGAGGAGGTGAGGGAGCATATTACCGGATTGCTGAAGAAGGGGGTTATTAAGGAAAGCTCAAGCCCATATGCGTCCCCGGTGGTCCTAGTCAGGAAGACTGACGGAAGTCTGCGGCTGTGCGTAGACTACCGGAAACTGAACTCGAAGACCCAGCGCGATGCATTTCCCCTGCCGAGGATAGACGAGAGTCTAGACGCACTGTGTAATGCCCAAGTGTTTTCAACCATAGATCTGGCGAGTGGCTATCACCAAGTAGCGATGCACGAGAAAGTAAGACCGAAGACCGCCTTTGTCACACCATTCGGACTGTATGAATATGTGCGGATGCCGTTCGGTCTCCACCGGCAACTTCAGAGACTCATGCAGGCTGTAATGGGTGAGTCGAGTTCGTTCGAGGCACACCTGTCTAGACTTGAAACGATACTTTGCCGGCTGAGGGAAGCAGGGTTAAAGATTAAAGTGGAAAAATGCCACTTTCTCCAAGCAGAGGTAAGGTTTCTAGGACACCAAGTTTCGGCCCAAGGGGTAGGTCCTGACCCCGACAAAGTCAGTGCAGTAGTGCAGTGGCCAGTGCCTAGCACAGTGAAGGAACTGCGATCCTTTTTGGGATTTTGCAGTTATTACCGCCGATTTATCACAGGTTTCTCCAAGGTGGCCGGACCTTTGCACGACGTGGTAAATTTGTGCACCAAAAGGGGCAGTGGGTCCCAAGGTGACAAGGTATTTCAAGGCTCTTGGACATCTGAATGCCAGCAGGCATTTGAACATCTCAAGAAGGAGCTGACCTGCGCTCCAGTACTGGGATATGCCGACTTCTCCCTTCCATTCGTGTTAGAGACAGATGCAAGTAATTTGGGCCTGGGTGCTGTCCTTTACCAGCTTCAGGATGGGAGGAAGAAAGTAATTGCCTATGCAAGTAGGAGGCTGAGAGGTGCCGAACGCAATGACCGCAACTACAGCAGCATGAAACTGGAACTCCTGGCCCTAAAGTGGGCTGTAGTAGAGAAGTTCAGGGGCTATCCACTGGGGTCTCGGTTCACTGTTCTCACTGACAGCAATCCGCTCTGTCACCTTAACACAGCGAAGCTGGGAGCAGTGGAGCAGCGGTGGGCGGCCCAATTAGCTGTATTTAGTTTCGAGATCTGCTACTGACCGGGTCGTTGTAATACAGCGGCTGACGCTCTCTCCCGGAGGCCGGGGTTGGATGAGGTGCATGAAGTGGCCGAAGATACTGACTATGATGGCTGTGTGGCCATTTGTAGTGAGCTACATTGGGGAACAGCCATAGGCCCAGATCTTACAGTGTTGGAACCAGCGCTAGGGGAGCTTACCGAGGGGAAAGTTAGCCCAGACTCTGCCCTTGGAAACACTCCGACGTTACCTGGGTATACTAAGGAGGAGCTTTGTCGTCTTCAAGATGCGGATCCTTTCCTGAAACTACTGAAGCAGTTTTGGTGTGCCCGAAAGAAGCCCTCAGCCCGTGAGAGAAGGGGACTGCCCCGACAAGTGCGGTCATTGCTTAAACAGTGGGGTAAGCTCAAGGAAGATGAAGGATTACTGTATCGCGTAGTAGATGATGTATTCCTAGGCGAGCGTCAACAGCTGTTACTTCCCACTTGCTTGGTTGAGCCAGTGCTACGGAGTGTTCATGATCAAATGGGACACCAGGGAATTGAGAGAACACTGAGCTTGCTCAAGCCAAGGTGCTATTGGGCAGGAATGCATGAAGCTGTAGACACCTGGGTGAAGAATTGTCATCGCTGTGTGCTTGCTAAGTTGCCGCAGCCTAAGATTCGGGCTTCCTGGACCCCTTTTCTCGCTTCCCAACCACTGGAAGTGGTCGCTGTTGATTTTACCACTCTGGAGCCTGCCTCTGATGGTCGAGAAAACGTTCTGGTGGTGACGGATGTCTTCACTAAGTTTTGTCAGGCGTTCCCCACACGTGACCAGAAGGCGGATACCACCGCTAAGGTGCTCCTGAAAGAGTGGTTTCTCAAGTACGGGGTGCCGCAGAGACTGCACTCCGACCAGGGGAGAAACTTTGAGAGCGCGGTCATTGCGGAACTTTGCAGGTTGTATGGGGTGCGAAAGTCGAGGACCACCCCATACCATCCGCCAGGGAATCCCCACTGTGAGCGGTTTAATCGCACTCTACATGACCTGTTGCGCTCGCTACCCCCCGACAAGAAG